CCAGCTGCTTGGGGTCTCCGGAGGAGCCGAGCTCACGCACAGCCCTTCTTCCAGGCACTCGTGCTGCTGCCTTCAGAGCTTTATGAATATTGTAGCAAGGCCGTTCCTTTCATCTCTGCTTCTTTCCAGGGAGCTCCAAACCTTCTGCAAATTCATTTCCACCTCACTATTCCTCTTAATTATTTAAACTCGCCCTCCCAAAAGTGGAGTCTTTCCATTATCACTCCTTTCTCTGAAATGCGTGTGGAATTCGGGGACTTGCAAATCCACTCAACTTCTCCACATTCGTGCAGAGCAGAAGGTTTCCTCAGACTGCCCCCCCTGCTCCCTTCCAGCCTGGCCCCAGGCCACGTTCACAGAGGCCTCAGCCATGGAAGCCTCAGAGCCAAGGCAGTGCAAAGCAGCTTTTCACTGGGGTCCCGGACACTGAGGATCTTCCCCACGTGCCTTTAATTTCCATGGCTCTACTTGGTGGTTCTCCCCCAGACCTGCAGGCAGGGCCAGATGTCCCTGCACTGCAGCTGTGCTGACATGGCTCATACAGGAAAACTCTCTTGCTGCTCCATGCCCAGCAAAGCTGAGAGCACCTGCAAGACCTCCCTGCAGGGCAGAGCCCCTCCCTGCCCTCTAATGAGACATGCTCAGTTAATTGCCTTTTAATATAGGAACCAAGGCCAGCTCCCCAAATACCTAAAGGTAAAACCTGGTGGCTCAAACCCTGTTGGAGAAATGCAGTTTTCAATAAAATAGATGCACATTTACACCTTCTCTGTCTACTTTTGAAAGGTGGCAGCTGCATTTGAGCACCTCCACGAGTGAGCCACCACCCAGCTCCCAGCTCCCCATGTTGCTGGGATCCTGCCACAGCTGAAGAGGGAGGCTCTGGTGGAGCTCTGGGGGTGCTGGCAGGACACAGGAGCCGGGGAAGGGGGTGACTCACACAGCTGTGACACATCTGCATCTCCTGCCATGCCTGAACCTGCTGGGTGCTCCACAGCCAGGCCTGTGTGCCTGCAGCAGCCCTGCCCACGCCGTGCTGTGCTTCGCTGGGAGCACTGTGAGCAGGACATTTGCAGGAGCAAGGGACCCCTGGCCACTGCTCTTTCTCCCCATCCTGCTGTTGGTGCTCCATCCTAACCCTTGTCTCATACCCTAAGGCTCTCTTGGTTTGGCTCATCTTCCCTGAGGCTCTGTGGGAGAATTGGGGTTTTCTCACCCCACTGGAGGGGACAAGAGGGGTGAGGAGGTGCAGTGTGGCCCTCGTGGACAGCTGGTCACCTCCCCCAGCCCTGCACTCTTCCTGTTGCTGTTATTTGTTTATGCATCCATTGGTACCCAGCTGCAGACTGGAAATGGGGTGAGGGGCTGCCAGACCCCAGCAGCATCAGCTGAGCAGGGGGACCCCACTGTGAGCAGCTCCCAGCTTGATAACCCTCCAAAACACTCCAACAGAGGTGCATGCAACTCCTCTGGGGCTGTGTCAGCAATGTCCTGGTGGGAAGTGTGGCTGTGGCATCGCTGGCTGAGGGCCCTGTGCCAGCAGCCCTTGAGAGCCCCATCCCTTCCACCCACCCTGACCACGCAGCAGTGGGACCCTCACCCGTTGTGGCCAGGCCAGCGCTCCCCTCCCTGCACCACTTCCTGAATTAATCATCAGCCTCACTCTGTGCTCCACTCCTCCCTTAAAGAGATTTTTACACATTAAAAATTCACAGCACTAAATGATTGATGGCTGAGGCCCCCTGCACCACGAGGAAGAGCTCAGGCTGCTCCAGCTTCACTTTCCACCAGCATGTCCTTGTCCCAGCCACCCCCAGTGCTGCACTGGGCATCTCCTGGGGGAAAAACCAGCACGGCAGTGACTCCCAAAAAGGCACCATTAGCTCTCTAGAGCTGCTGGGGGTGTGTTGAAGGTGTTTCAGGTGCTGGAGCCTCTCCAGGGCCCTGGGATGTGCCTGTTGTGGCCAACACCAGTGGGAACAGGATGCTCTACTCTCGAGTGGTGTCTTGGGAGGGTTTCAGGGGAGCTGTGTGCCAGCCTGAGCAGCACAGGGCAGGGCTGCAGGCTTGAGTGAGAGCTGCAATGGAGCAGCTCTCCTGTTCTCTCCTCCCATCACTTCATCCCAAGACATGGCAGTGATGGGGAGCAGCCATTGAGGGGCTGCATGGGTCAGCGGGGAAAAAGAAGAAAAACCTTTTGTGCTGACCTGGGCCAAGTGAGCTCCTGTCTGTTCTGTCACTGTCCCCAGCAGTAACAAGCTCTTCCCCCACTTCCCAGAGCCTTGCTGCTCCCTACCTCCAGCTGATGCCCACACCTCAGGGGCACCTGCCCTGACACCCTCCAGCAAGCACCCCCAGCACCCATCCCCTAAACCCATCCCCAGCACCCACCCCCTACACCCATCCCCCAAACCCATCCCAAACCCATCTCTAAACCCATCCTAAATCCATCCTAAACCCATCCCAAACCCATCCCAAACCCATCTCTAAACCCATCCTAAACCCATCCCAAATCCATCCTAAAGCCATCCCAAACCCATCCCGGGCTCTCCCCGGTTCCCAGGGCGGGCGCGCCCCCTGCCGGTCAGAGCAGGGTAAGGCAGGAGGGGACGCGGGACTGGGACGGGACTGGGCTGGGGCTGGGGACAGAGCTGGGATGGAGCTGGGACTGGGCTGGGGACGGGGCTGGGATGGAGCTTCGGGACTGCAGCTCGGGGTCACGGCCACCCTGTCACCTCTCATCCCATCACTCTGCAGTCCCATCACCCTGACAGTGCCTCACCTTGCCGCCCCACCACGGCTGTTGTCAGCCCGTCACCCCATCACAGCTGCTCCCGCGGGTAGATGTGACTTGCTCCCAAAGTTCCTCCAGGCCCAGCCTGAGGTTCGCGCTGGGCAGACTCCAACGTGCTGCTCACCTCAGCAGCGAGCCCCGCACCTCTTCCTGCTGTCCCCCAGCCCAAGCTGTGCCGTAGTGCCCTGCTCCCCACCCCAGCCACCACTGCCTCCACTCCCCTCTGCCCGGCGGGTCTTGGGCTCCTTTGGCCTCCCTGCGGCACCACCCTCCTGTTCAGAGCTGCACCAGCCCCCGCCCAGCTGCTCGGGCTTTGGCTCAGCACCTCCGGAATCTTCCTCTGTCTGCAGGGACACTTCCTTCTGCACTCCCCCCACACCCTGCTGGACCTCGACACGCAGGGCCTGTGCTGCATCCCTCAAACACACACTGAATCATAAACAATTGCCCCTCAGTTCATGTGTCTGTCCTTCTCACAGAGGAGACGTGTCTGGAGCAGTGCTGGGGCCCGGAGCAGCTCTTCTGCCACCCGCAGTGCCCCAGATGTCCCCAGGTGTCCCCAGGAGCGCTGCAGGTGCTCCCTGCCGCATGCCCAGCGCCGGGCGGACCGAACCGCGCTGCTCCTCTTTTCATCCTCGAGGGAGAAGGTGCAGGTGCCACAGGCCTGGCTGTTCCCCTGCCCCGCAGCGTAGGTGGGCTCAGAACAGCAAGTTCAGAGGTACCCCCCACAGTGTGCAGCATCTGCAAGAAAAACTCCCGTGAATCGGGCACTTTCCAGCTTCTCTTTGCTCACCGGCAAAGAAGGAACAGGCTGGGTGCTGGCACGGGGCCAGCCTGGACACGCTGGGGCTCCCGGACAGAGTGTGGCAGGAGGAGCTCCTGGAAGGGGTGGCGGCGGATCCGCACTGGGGGAGTGCGTTCCTGTCCTGCCGATGGAGTGGAAAGCTCCCTGCGGAGATCCGAGAGCAGAAAGCGGTGGCAGAAGGGCTGCCCGGAGGAGGATCCCGGCTCGGACCCGCCCCGGAGGCGGGCAGGGCACAGCGGCTCTGCCTGGCCCCGCTCCAGGGCCCGCTCAAAGGGCCGATTGTCCGCCGGCGCCAGATGTGCGGCTCCGGGCACGGCACAGAGGGGCTTTTCTGCTCTTCTCAATGGCAGATCTGTGCCATTCCCGTCGGGACGGTCCCGCTGCGCCCCCCGGCCCTGGTCAGAGCCCCGGCAGCCGGGAACCCGCTCTGTGTGCGGGCACCGGCGGCCTTGCCCGGCTCCGCTGGAAATGTCAAACGGGAGCCGGACCCGTCAGCCCCGGGGCTCTGCGGCGGGAGGAGTGGACACCCGAAAGCAGCTGGAAATAACTCCCCGGAGAAAAACTGAGTTTGGCTGTGCAGGGCAGAGAGGCATCTGCTGGGTAGGAAATTCCCTCTTTGTCCTGAGAACTCCGCTGGCAGCTTTGCTGCGTGCTGGAGGGCAGAGAGCACAGCAGCGGAAGGGATTTGGGGGCTGGTTGGTGCTCACGGTCAGCCCCATCCTGCTCTGCAGGGTGAAGGGTCGAGCTGGAAATCCGTGGGTGGAGCTGAGACCACATCACCCATCAGGTGATGGCGACATCCCTGTGCCCACGCGGGCCGGTGTCCCTGACCATCGCCAGGGGCTGGGGATGTCAGGGCTGCTGCCCCTGAGCATTCTCCACAGAGGACAGGGCTGCAGCTGGGACCTCACCCTGCTGCGGGACCGGAGTTACAGGAATTCACAGGGGCAGGGGCCCCCCTTTCCAGGAGTCACCCCTTTTGGAGACAATCAGCTTGGGCAGCTATTTTCAAACCCCATTTTACAGCCTGCTGGCTACAGGAGGACATGGGGGCCCAGAGGCCCTATAGGAAAATGGCCGTTTTGAAGGAGTGTAGTGTTTCAGCCAAGATTACAGATCTTCAAGGCAACCCAGGCTGCAAATCCTCGATGCACAGCGCGATCCCGGTGCTGGAATGTCCCCGCGGCGGGAGCATCCCCTGCCGGATGTCCCCGGCCCTTGGGGTGTGTTGGGGCAGCAGGGCTGGGGCAGCGTCCCGGGCTGGCCCGGGGCCAGGGCAAACCCGAGCTGCGGAAACCCGCGCGGCATTTCCCTCAGCGCTGATAAGGCTGAGCTGCAATCGCAGCCACAAAAAAGCTGTCCCCGCCTTCCCCGGGCTGGCCAAGTGCCGTGCCAAGCACATCAAGGATTGCCCGAGATAAAAGCCAGGCCTGCTGTGCCCACAGGCAAACAATGTCACCTGCGGCCGGCTACATCAGAGGGGACATGGGCTGGGCACAGGAGACGAGGGCACCCTGCACCTGGACAGGGCTGGGCCTGTGCTGGGGACAAGAGGGTCACGTACCTGAGTGGAAGGCAGCAGAGGTGGCATGGAGCAGGAGGGCCCCAGGGAGAGGGTGTCACTGAGGCTGGGCTGTGTTTGGTGCAGGTGCCTCAGCACAGCCCTGCCCTGGGTTCGAGGGGGTCTCCAGGAGGGGGTGGGTGCTGGGAAATGGCCAGGCAGGAGGCTTTGGCAAGAGTCTGTGGTGGCTGTCCTGCTGTCGGGGCTTGGCTTCCCCCAGTGGCTTCACCCACGTTCAGCCCCTTCCCTGCCAGCTCAGCCGGTCTGAGCACCACGTGTGCACCCACAGCTCCTCAGGGACCCTTCCCCAGATCCCACACTGCTCCAGCTCCACTCTTGGGCTGTTTGTTCTGCTGCAGCATCTCAGGGAGGAAGGATCTGAGCAGAGAGGTGATGGGAGGAAACAAGCTTTCTGTTCACTCCCAAACCTGCAGGCAGAAAACAAGGACATCCTGCTGGGGTGGCTGGGCAGGGACGCTGTGCCTGTGGGGAGGGCAGCGTGCTGGGCTGGGACATTGCTGGCATTGACACCCTTTCCTACAGGGACTGGGCCAGACAGAGCCTCACAGCTTTTGCCTCTGGTCTCACACCCTGCCCAGCCTGGCTAGCTCATTCAGGGGACCATGGAAGGGATGGTGGAATCAGGGGCCAAGCTCAGGCAGGCTTGGTGCAGCTGGGCCAAGCAGAGATGAACTCAGGCAGCCAGGAGATGGCTGGGACACATCTGATCATCTGTTTCCCAGGGGTGCCCAGAGCACACTCTGCTCCTCCCTGCCATGGGCCACCACTGGCCAGTCTGGACACCCAGGACTTTGGAGCCCACTGCCTCAGAAAGGACCAGAATGCTCCTGCTGCCCATGGGGGAGAGCAGGGTGCCCAGGGGTCAGGATCCCCCTACCCAGGGAACAAAGGGAGCCATCCAGAGCTGCAGCACGTGGAATGGCTCATGCTGCAGCACACGGGGCTGCAGCCCTTTCCCACCAGCATTCCTCAGGGTCTCTCCACCCAGGAGCCATCTGAATGGCTCCAGAATGACAGAATGACAGCAAATGCCTGCTTGTAGCCTGCCAAAAGCCTGGGCAAACTTTGTGTGTTTTCTAATGTGCCAGCGCCACCCAATTCCTGTGCTGTGTGCAGAGGGACAGAGATGCAGCCTGTTCTGTCAGTCTGCAGCTCCTGGGGCTCTGTTCCCAGCACACCGTGGAGAAGCACCAGCTGTGCTGGTGTGAGTCACAACACATGCACACAGGTGCACACACATTTCCTACTGCTCTGATGGGAAAAGAGGCACGATCACATTCTCATTCCCAGACAGAGAGAAAAGGATTGGGATTCACCAGAAAAGTAATTTTTTGAGACCTTCTTCTGAACCAAAAAAGCTTTTCAGTAGATCTGAATCTATGAAAACTCATCAGCTTCTGGAGCTTTTTGTTCAGATGGACTCTCTTACGAGGGTCAGGGCTGATATCAATGGCCATTGTGAAGAAACAGCTGTGCCAGACCCACAAATGATGCCATGAAAGTCAGCAGAGCCCAGACCGCTGAATGACAACACTCTACCACCAGGAAACCACCAAGGGTTTTTTGGCAGAACTGCCCCTACAAGAGGAACAGAAGCCTGGCTAGCCCTCCCCACCCCTCCATGCAGGGTTATGGGAGAGATGCTGAATACAAGAGCTTGGTCCCATATTGTGGAAGCCCCTGGTCCTTACTTGTAGCCTTTCCCAGAGCGAGCACAGTGCACCTTTCACCCACACAGGCACCAGTCCTAACACCCACAACCTCTCAGCTACACTTTGGTTAACCCAGGCCTTGGCACAGGTGTGGCTGCAGCTGCTGCCATTCGCCTCCAAGCCTGGGTTCAGCCCCAGCCTGGGCAGAGCCAGCCTGGGCAGAGCCAGCCTGGTGCCACAGCCTGGGCAGCTCCTGGCTCAGTGCCCCTGCTCTGGGGTGAAGGCACCACACGGGTGGCCAGCCGAGGCTGCAGGAGCACTTTGCTCCAAGTGATCTGCTCTTGGATGCAGATGGGATTTACATGGGGTGTGAACATCACCCAGCCTAGGTGAGTTCTCTGGCCATGGCCTCATATTTGAGTCCCATGTAGTTTCTGCAGAAAACAATGAATATCAGAAACAAGGGCTGTCCCTTGGGTTTGATTCTTCTCGGTGACCAGAACTTAAAGCCAGAGGAGTCTGATCCCTGCAGGGAACAATGCCATCCCTCTTGTTCAAAGGCTGCTGGTGAGTCTCAGCCTGGAAATATCTCTGAGCTCACACAGTTTTATGATCCAGCACCACATTCAGCAGCGCCAGGGCTGTGTTCCTTTGGTGATGCTGGGTTGTTTGCAGTCTCCTCACTCTTCCACAGCTCAGCCCTCATGCTGGGGTGGCAGCAGTCACATGGGGGTCTGGCACCCACAGAGCTGCAGTGACATCACTTTCCCAAGCTCATGTTTCCTCAACTACTCCTTTGCTGTTTTTTTCCCTGTGCAGGGAGGAAACTAGAATTGCTGCCTGGAGGTGGGTGACATTTTTGTCAGAGGTCCAAGAGCAGAAGTGAAGGACCTGGATGTGGGCCCATCATGGAACTCTGAGCCGGATGCAGGGCATGAGCCCCACAGCCCAGCTGGGCACTGCTGGCACCTGGCTCATCGCCCCAGACTTCGCCTTTCCTGACCTGGACAGAGAAGGTAAAGCCACCCTGTGCAGGGCACCTAAGCGATTTCTCCTCCAAGCAGTCAGTGAATCGGCAAGAGCCGAGCTATTCCCGACCTGCTTTGGAGACCAACTGAGGGCGTGAAATCACCAAGTTCATTACCACAGGATGCTGGGGAGGCCAAGTATGCAAATGAATTGGAGAGGGACGAGGTCTGTCAGTGGAGGTAGATTCATTAGAGCTATTAAGGTACTTCCGTCCGGATGCAAACCCTTTCCCAGGAAGTCCCCAAAGTGCCTGCCAGCAGCTGGGAGGGACGTCGGGAAGCACATCTTGTTTCTCCTGCTCTTCCCGTGAGTAGTGTTACAGAAGTGCCAGATATGGAAAAATACCCGTGAAGTTCAGAACTGAAAAGGAAAGAAAAAGTAGCAAAAATCTTTGCTGTGGGTTTCAGCGCTGAAAAGGCCTGCAGCAGTTAGTGAGGGCAAGCTCCAAGGTGGGGAATGGTCCCTACAGGATGGGGGAGAGCCCAGAGCTCGCGGCTCAGCGAGCAGCACGGGAAGCAGGCGGGGAAGAAAGCTGGCAAGAAAAGGAGACAGACAGCCGCTGCTGGGACAGGGAGGGCTGCCAGGAACCCAGC